TGCACATATTTTGCAGAAATTTAACTTTCGGGTTGTTTATTCTCCCATCAAATAGGGTTCCGAGTTCCATACTCAAAGGACCCCATTCCGGATATGAATTCCTGGGGTATTTACAGGATTCCTTGCCAGTGTGGTTTAATTTACATTGGCCAAACTAAGAGAGCCTTACAATTTCGTGTCAAGGAACATGAGGCATATGTTAGAAAAAAGGAAACACAGAAGTCTTCTGTTGCTCAACATTGTTGGTCCGAAAACCACACTTTCAGTTTTTCTGCTGCCAAAATTATTCAAAAAACATCTTCCATTGGAGAACTGGATTTTCTAGAGGCATTTCACATTCATAAAAATCTTTCTGTTCTAGTTAACGATCCTAATTCCAATCCAAATTTGCCTTCGGCCTTTAAAGAAATTATGTTTTAGTTCTGGTTTCACCAACAGATGGCGCCACTTGCTTATTCTTGTCTAGGCTTTCTTATCTTATCTAATCATTATTTCCTATCTGGTTCATTTGCGGTTTTGCAGCTGAAGATGGTGGTTCGGTAAAACCATCGAAACCACCATCTTCTTGTTGTTCACCATCTTGTTGTTTGACTTCTGAATTTGTATTTACTCGGCGTGTTATTGTGTCTTAATTAGACAATGTATTATTAGCCTCAATACTCAATGTGTTTCACTATTGTGTTGAATCACTTTAAAAAAAAAGAGCTGGTATGTACACAACATGACTTCCTTGTATGGGATATTAAATTATACACACTTTTTCCTGCATTTCCTTTAAACTTATTAAATTGAATTAAGTCTACTTCGGCAATAGCGCATAAACCACAATAGAATAAATGCATTCTTTAAAATTCACTATATTTAATTACCATAGTGACACTTAGATGCTTGAACTGTTGTTAAAAATTTCTGTTGCACTGTGATTTAGGATACCTTTCAACAACTGAAAAAATGTTTTGCTGGAGAATTCAAGCTCATTACAAGCAACTGTCAGAGTTTGAAAGAGGTCATATCATTGGATTGAAAGAGGCAAGTTGGGTAAATCGGAGAATCGCTCATCATATGAGTTAAAACGATGTAGCGATTAGAAGATGCTGGAAAGAATGGGTGGACAATGGCAGATTTCAGAGTCATGATGGTAGCAGTTGACTAGGGCTATAACAGATCGGAAGGACAGAGTGATTGTCAGATCAGCTGTCACTGTGCCTGATTCATCCCTAACCACTAGACGTGTGACCCGCATACGAGTGTCCCCCCCCATGACCATTCACAGATGACTGATAGAGCAAAATCTACACTCATACCGACTGTTAAGCCACCTGCCACTCACACCTGCACACTGTCAAGCCAAATTACAGTGGGGATTGCTCAATCAGCTTGAAATGATGCTGACTGGGAACGTATAGTCTTTAGTGATTAATCCCGCTTTCAATTGTGTCGTGACGATCATCAAAGACACGACTAGAGATGACCAGAGCAGCGTGCCGATACTGCTTTCACTATTGCATGCCACACAGACCCTCAACCAGAAGCTTTGGTCTAGGTAGCCATTTCCTCTGATAGCTGGACCCCTGTGGTCGTCATTAGAGGCACACTTACAGCACTGCAGTACGTCAACAATTCTGAGATTTGTTTTGCTTCCATTCATTTTGCAGTACCCTGGCCTTATTTTTCAGCAGACCACATACAGCACATGTTGCTATGAACTGTCTTACAGTTTGTCAAACATTTCCTTGGCCACCCAGATCGCCAGATCTCTCTCCCATTGAGCATGTGCGCGATATGATGGGAAGGTAACTGCATCTAAAAGGGAATGTTGATGACCAAGCCCATCAATTGGAGCAAATTTGGCACTAAATTCCGCAGGAGACCATACGGGATGTTTATCAATGTATGCCACACGTGCGGCAGCTTGCATCAAGGCTAGAGGTTGGTCAACACCGTATTGAGCTTGTTACTTTGTAACTATTTCGCTCTGAAATAAATCATTCAATTGCTTTGAAATTTTGATAATTTTTTATTCTGTACATTACCTTCCTATCCACCAATTCTTGACTCCATTGGATAACTCCTTCTTGGTGCGCCAATTTTTTTTTGTTATAGAGTGTATTTCCATTTAAAATTGAAAGATACAGAAAAACATAAAACACCAAGTACAGTTAAAAAAATTAAAAAACAATTTTTATAATTAAAATTACAGTTCCCATGCAAAAATTACCATGTTGGCCAGCAGGCAAGAAGGCAAATTTTTTGGTGCAAAAATCTAAGTTTCCTTTTGGTCTCACTCGGAAAAAGACACTGAAGGTGCAGAAATTAATTCACTATTCTGCTAAGTTTCAAATGTAAACAAATATTGCTGTTATGTAAAAAAATTAGATGTATCAACGCTTAAAAATTTATAACTGTTGATAATTCTACAAATACTGCATGCAGACTAACTAAAGGCATAAAATCCTTAACCAGAAAATAAGAATAACATAACTCATTCATTTTTAAAGCAAAAAACGCACAATGTAACCAACATATACAAATAAAAAATTAAAAAAAAAATAGATTCACTGAGCTGAGTAACAGAGTGGGTATATACATATATATATATATTTGGTGCAGCCGATTGCAACCAAAAAGGGATGTGCACAACTACGCATTATAGTAGTCATATATACAAAATTTCAATGTTCTGAGACTACTCATTTTTGAGTTATGCGAGACACATATGTACAGATGCCAAGAAAAGTCCATTTTAAATCAGTTTTATAATTTTGGGGGAAAAAGCGTCTTTTATTCTGTCCTTACATACAGATGTCACGCAAAAACATTGTTAAATTGCATTCGATAGCAGTCAAAATGGATATTTTCGTTGAAATATGGTGTCCAGAATTTTCCGTGATTACAATACTTCCTTTACTTCACACAAGGAAGTAAAAAAATTGATGCTGCCAACAAATGTTACTGCTAAGTCTTATTTTTAAATATGTAATACAGCAAATATTAAAAAAAAGTATGGCAACAGATTTCTATTGGAATTTTAGCTTTCAAACAATTTGTGGTTGTTAAGACATTGATTTGAGAATCTGAAACACTATATAACCAAAGGATATACCATGATTGATACAATATTTTCAGATCAAAGCATGAGAACTGATAATGCACATGAGCACATATAATTATCATTCTCCATCATATGGAAAAATAGAATAAAGAGTAGTGTTTATGATTAACAATGAGCCATAAAATTAGTAAGCAAATTAGATTTTGTTTACAAATGATCAATGGGAAGTGATAGTTTACTTAAAGCTCATTGCTATTCCATCAGTTCCATGTCTTAATATAGAACTGATGGGAAATCGTGGCAGCCACATCAGATTAGTTTAAACTGGAAATTATTTGACAATACACATTCCTATAATCTGAGAAAAACTAATCTTAACAATTGAATCTACCCATCAGATTAGTTGAAACTGAAAATGATTTGATAATACACATTCCTATAATCTGGGGAAAATTAATCTTAACAACTGAATCTACCCATAAGATATTCCACACTGATATTTTAACATGAATGAGAAAGTGAAAACTCTTACTAGCACTAGCAACTATTTGGTTGTTAGGAATCATCAAAGAACTATTAATAGATGAAAGCACGGAATAAATTTATCATTGGATGTTATATTTACTCCATGGAGATTCTTTATAATTTTGAAGTCATATCAGATTTGATCAATAATTTATTTTACATTAATTGATGAATTTAGAAGTTAATTGGTTACAACAAAATCACTTGCTTCCTCTCAAGTTAAACTATAAATTAGAACTTTTCACTGATAAACAACCAACTGCAAATTCTATTTTGATATCCAAAATGGCTTTTGTGGTATTTTCCTTTCTTCTTTTTTCTTTTTAGTTCTAAAATATCAATGTAAAAAAAAAAAAAATGCACTGTGCTAGGCTAAAATAAACAGATAGTTCATAGTTGCTTTCTTTTTTCTGTATGATGAAACTTCTATTACAAGACTTCTTTTCTGAGTATCTTGCATAAACGAAATTAATTAACAAGCTGCTTTTCACTGGACTAGTTTCACATGATACAACAACTAAAACAAAAATACAACTTATAAGGATCCTAGTTTGGTGGTGCACCATTAGCTACAAAATTGAAATGATAGTTCTAAACAGTATTCTTTCAATTGCTTTCCACTAATTATTTCATGCACTTCTTGATCATGTAAGGAATATAAATTTCAAAGGAGTTCTGAATAAACCAAGTTTGGTAACTTACTAAAAGAATTTCTTTAACTCTTCTATCCTTTTTTAAATTTTTCAACAGCAATGTTTCTGTATTGCTGTACATTCTATAGTGACTAAATATTCGTAAACAGATATTTAAATTATATTAACATGCAGTATAATAATATCTTGAAAAGCCTTATACATGAAGAAATTTAAGGAACTCAGTTTCCCCCCCCCTCGAAACATAATTATTAGTCTTTCAGGCATCAGCTAAATTTTCCTACTGCTCTCTTTCTCACAGTCATTATCTTTTTATACATACTCAATCCCTCCTTTCTAAACCTCAAATTTTAAACAAGCATTTCAATTGCAAGTATGCAATTTCATGACAACATTGCTATTTTTTAATTACATAAAATGCAACTAAAAATTAACTTTTAACAAATTTTGATGATAAAGTGAAAAGTAAATTATTAATCTTAGCACTTTCTTGTTAAAGCAGCCACCATACTAAGTTATAAAAACTGGCAAACCAAAACATCCAATCTGTACAATGACAAATTCCATATTTCATATATCACCAGAAGCTTATGCGCTGGCCATTTTACTTTTACCAATGTAGTAAGTACCTTAATCTTTAATACTAAAATATTTTATAATTTTTAGTTGAAATGGGGAAAAATTGTTTTAACAAAAATAACTCATTTTATTAAAAGAATATACTTTTTCACATGATTAATAAATTAGATTTTATGAATTATTTATACAACCTTTTCTGACAAGCCAGTTCATCTTCGAGAATTTTTCGAGCATGACTTGCTTCTAATTGCTCTTTCTTCAAATCTAACGATTTAGCTTCAACCTAAAATTGAAAAATCAGTTTTAAAAAGTTCTGGTATTACATAAAAATCTCACTCTTCATATTGAACATTTTTTTTTTTTTCATTATTTTAAAGTTTCAAGATGGAATGAAAAGTTAAAATGTATGCATTAAAAAAAAGCAGTTTTTTAAAAAGACAACTTTGTTTAGTCACAAAAATACCTCATTCCTGCAAGAGAATAAGCAAAGGGAACACACAGATTTCCAAAAGTATGCCATAGGAAATTACAAAAATTAACTTAAAAGAGAATGATAAAACAGTTAATGACAAAAACATCAGAAATGCCTCTTTTACTAGTATGTGGATAATGCATTACCTTGAATGAAAATTTTCATATAAAGAAGTATCAATTTTATAGATGCTGAGAATGTGTACAAAAAATGCACCCCAACGCTTTTACATCATTGTCCACAGTATAATATTTTGCTCATTTGCACTTAAATACCTTATTTTAAGTCAATGAATGATTTGTAACCAACGAGTGTTCTTCAAGCCATGCCTCAGTGGCAGGGATGCCTTCGTGGAGGACTTTCTAAGGGAAGTGGCTCGTATACACGTTACACATGGAGAAAACCATGAAAATGCCCATGCAGCCAGTCTGTTCGTGGGATTCGAACCGCCACTATAGAGAGAAAATTACACATCTGACATGTACCAACTGTGCAGTAATGTGATTGCCCACTATTTCAAGTTGCTATTTCATCATAACTACCAAATTTAAGTATTCAGGTAGAGAGTAATTCTTAAAATTCAAATGTATCAGATTTTTCATGTTATTTTAAAAAATACATTATATTCTACAGATTACTTTCGAGAAAATCCTTCAAAATTGGAAGAAAATTAAGCTTATGAAGAAAATAACTATTTGTATGTATAGTGATTTGCTTCCAGTTTGGTATCTAGACAATGTTTCATTCAGTATAATTTATGATTTACTTATATTCTAACCTGCTTGTTACAGGGTCTCATGAATCATTCTAAGCGAAAAGAAACCATCCGTCAGAAGAATTAACTTCTTTTCCATCAATTTAGTGCGATTTTTTTGTTCTTCATTTATAATGAGTGTAGAAAGTATTCATACAAGAGTGGTTTTCCATTAGAAACTATTGTTTTGATGTGCTATTTCTTCAAAAGGCAAAACTACTAATATTTCTACTAATAAAGCATAATTTTCCAAATACAAATATTTGGGGGGGGGGAACTGAAAGAGAATCGAATCAGCTTTTAAATATAAGAAAAACTAAAAATTGGTGATTTATAGATATGAAAAAAGGATTCATACATTAAAACAAAGCACATTTTTGTTAGAATTTTGTGATTTTTTTAGTTGCTTGATATCGAAAAATGGTAGCATACTCGATGCCCATTTGAGAGGTCCTAATGACTCTACAATGTTGAAAAATGGTGATATTGCTTTTAAAACTGCAGAAATGTTATATGCATGGTTTCCAGAATTTGGTAACTTCTACTAAAGTGGTTGCACTAATATGTAAGCACCATATATAATGTATGCTAATTTGTTGGAGCAACCAGTAATTTTCTAAACAAAACCGGGAAAAAATTCCATTTTTCTTTGAACATTTCAAATATTATGCAAAAAATAAGTAACAGGAAACATATGCTATTACCTAAATATATTAAAAACATGCAAATTTTTTCTATACATATAATAAAAAATAAACAGAAGATAAATATAGTATAAATATACAGAAAGAGAATATAGGTTTTAGAATTATGGCTTACATGCAAAGACTAAATGGCTTTTAATCAAGACTAAATACTACAATATACAGTCAAAAGTCATTAATTCGGACACCCATAATCCGGAATGATCTATAATCCGGCCCTCAAAGCTAAAAACTTTCTGCGCATGCGCCGCATTGACACATGCGCATAGGCGTTTACGCGTGCTCGTAAGACCTTTACCCACTGCGCATATGCGTGTGCGCAAGCGCAGAATACATTTTTGCGTGCGCGTTTTACGTATAACGGATGGTATAATCTAAAATTATCTAATTATCTGTTTCAGTTAATGTTGATGATTGCATTGTTCCTTAATCTTCGAATTGGATCCGGCTTATTATTTTTTGCAGACTGTAAGAGCAATACTATAAAAGTAAACTTGAACTTTCGATTATGTCAAATAAAGTTTCCGATTCTGGAGCTCCCAAAGGATCGTACAAAACGAAAGTATGTTTCGATGTCCATCAAACAAAAAGTGGAACTGCTGCAAAAAATGGATAAAGACATGAAGAATGTGACAGAGAGGTTAGTGAAAATGAAAAAATTTCAATTGACAAGTTAGTCGGTATTCTCGGCACAACGATTAACGGGACTTGAACAGCGGAATGTTCTAACTGAACAAGAAATTGTGTCTGTTTATAGAATTAAAGAGAAAGTATTATCACATAAAACGAAGCAACTTAAAACAACTCACACTGAAAGAAATGTTTAATAAAGTAAACAAATAAATATTAAGCTTTTTTTTTTTTTTTTTTGTAAATTTTGATACCCTTTAGATTAAATTTGTTCTTTATTTCATAAATTAAGGTTTCATATTTTTAATTTTAGAATTTCTCCATGCCATCTTATGAGATTTAAAATGATGATCGATAATCTGGAAAAATCAATAATCCGGAATCGCCGAAGTCCCGATGAGTCCGGATTAACGACTTTTAACTGTATCAGTTTTATGTTTGAAAAAAAAAAAAAAAAAGAATATAGTCTAAAGTACAGATACACTGGGGAAGGGGGAATGTTTCCAAAAAATGAAGACTAAAAAAAACTAACTGAAATAAAACACAAAAGTGGATGTTTATATAAAATTAAGACGTATGGCTCATTGGTTTTAACTATGGCAGTTTAACAAAAAAAATGCATTCACACATATACCGTATTTGAGGGCATATAAGACGCACCCTTATTTAGACGGCCACACACAAGGAAAAAAAGTTTCAATAGCGTGGTTTCTTTTAGTTCTCACGTTTCGTAAAAGCCAAATAAACAATTATTGAATGCAATTACCTTCACGTATAAGACTGTGTCTTTCACGTATAAGATGTAGGTAACTTTTTTGAGACCAAATTTAGGAAAAAAAGTACGTCTTATATGCCGTCCAATACGGTATACACCATAAAATTAAACAAAATGATAAATCAACATTGTTCCTCATAACAGTCATCCTAATGTCAACCAACTGATGACTGAAAGAAACAGAAAATTTAAATGAGAAACAAATAAATCACGTTTCAACATTAAAGGACATTAAACATTGAAAAATAATGGAGTACGGAAAAATAATAGAATTACATTCTAAATTTGGCAGAAGTTTTGAATATTAAAATAAAAATTTAAAAATATTTTTTATTAATGAGAACACTTTCATTTTAATATGCACAATGCTCCAGTTTAGATTCATTTAGAATTGAGTGATTTTCAATCAAATTAGCATTAATTTATTGTTCTCTAAATGCATAATTTCATCAATTTTGTGAATTATGTTAAAAATTATTTAGTTTTATTTGGTAGTGGTAGTGAGTTTACTGGCACAAAACTCCAGAAGTCATCTATGACGAATACATATCCGATGCTTTCACACATGAGACACATCCAAAACACATGAGACGGAGAGACTAAACATTAAGACCATAGAAGTGTTTAAAATACAGAGAAGCTAAAAAATAATAGATGCTAAGATGAAGTTTCCTATAATGTACATAATGAGATAAGATTTGAACAGGTATAAAATCTTAAAATGTAAAATATACAAAGACGGAAATCATTAAAACACCCAGGTGCAACATCAAAGCAAATCAAATTAAATAGTAAATGAAGACTGAGTGTGGTAAATCTCGAAGGACGGAGAAGTATCACTTCTAACTCTTAGAAAAAGTATCACTTTCTAACTCTTTAGAAAATGAATAATCAGCCTCACGTGCGTTAATAAATGGTTCATTGACCATACGAGGGTATTCTTCCTCTAAAAAATGGCACCTTCCCGCCATAATAGACTGGAGTGAGGCTTTCCGAAATAAAAAGAGAAGAAACGGAAATATATCTGAAGGCAATGCAAAACGTAACAGTACTCCACATACTAACCCTAAAAGACCGTGCATAGTAAAGGAAAAAAAAAATAGAATAAAAAAAGGAATTGGATATAAATCAGACATGCGAATGTTTTCATTAGCATGCAGCGATTTAAAGAGCTCACCTCTGTTTATGCTTTCCCTCCCCCCCCTCGCAAAAGCTGATGAGTAAAATACCAAAATCAAGCAGAATATATCTAACTCAAGGTCAGGAACCTAAAACTGTGTTCATTTCAAAAGTAATGGACATAGGATGCCGTCTAGTGGCCTTCAGAAAAACGTTTCAGCTTAAAATGCGTATACGCATCACCCGTCCTCTGAATGCGACCTCTAGAGATGGCTGGATGGGACGCTCGGCTGTAAGAGGCATTCTTAGGGAATGCGTATATGGGATGCCTGTCCTGAAAGGGTTAAATATTGAATGTGTGGAAGGAAAGTCAGCTTCGAACCGAAAGTATTCGACCGAAAGCTGACTTTCGGTCGAATACTTTCGGTTCGAAGCTGACTTTCCTAATACTAACCCTAAAAATTTTATTTGCAGTACAACTGGAATTTGTGAACTTTTCAGATGAAGTTCCAGCTCAGGATGGACACCTCGTTTTCTACAGAAATGTATACAAGCAGTCTTCTGTTCTGAAAAACAAATCCATGATTTGTAGACCATGTCTGGATCCTGTTAAGAGCAATCTGCAATTACCTCTCCACATACCTTATATCTGGCCCTTGACAACTTATCTGGAGATCATCCACATATAAAGAACCTGAGACACTTGAAGGAAGTTCCTTTAGAACAGAGTTTATTTTTAAGCTGAAAAGTGTAACACTCAGGACACAGCCTTGAGGGACAACCTCTTCTTGTACAAAGGTATTGGACAGAACCGAGCCAACTCTTACTTGAAAAGTCTTAGCCTTCAAGAAGTTCTGAATAAAAATAGGCAGGTTTCCTTGCAAACCACTAACATGAACACTACACAAAATACCGTATCTCCATGCCTTATCATAAGCTTTTTCTACATCAAAGAAGACAAAAACTAGGTGGTTTCTTCCACCAAAAGCTTTATGAATAGAGGTTTCTAGAAGGAGCATATTGTTGATGGTTGTTCTGCCTCTACGGAAACCACTCTGATATGAGGAGATAATGTTGTTTTCTTCGAGGTAGTAAACTAGACGGCTATTTACCATCTTTTCAAACAACTTGCAAACACATTTGGTAAGGACAATCGGCCAGTAGTTCAAAGGATTCTTTGGGTTTTTGCCTGGCTTTGCTATAGGTATAACTTTCTTTCAGGAACTAGGAAAGGTGTGCTCCCTTCACACTTGATTGCAAATAGTGAGCAGCGCAGCCAGTGACTTAAAGGAAAGATGCTTTAGCATTTCCATAGTTGACTATATCTGAACCCAGACTAGATCTTTATGTATGGGATAGGGTTCTCTTTAGCTCACATGCTGAAATCCCCATTATAGGGTTCTAAGCTGGAAGAACTGAAAGAGATGGGCAATTTCTCGGAGTGACACTTGAGAGAAAGAAATACTGGTGGATAATTGGTGTCACTGAAAATGGCAGCAAATGTCTCACTGATGGCATTTGCAATTTCTGCCTTGTTTCTAATCACCTGGTCATCGTTCTCCAGAAATGAAAGTGAGTGGTTTTTATAAATTCCGCATCCCTTTCTAACTCTTTCCCAGACTTTTTTGCTTGGCGTAGAAGATGTTATCGATGACACGTAGGAGATAAAGGAATCCTTCTGGTTTTGCCGTCTTGCATTTGCTTTGGCTTTTTTGAAGGCAATAAGATTCGTCAAAGTGCGGTATTTACGAAAAACTCCCCAAGCTTTTCTTTTTTGTCTTAAACTTTCTTTACAATCACAGTTCCACCATGGTTTTGAGTACTTCCGGAGATTTGTAGATGTGAGAGGTATGGACTTTGTAGCTACCTCAATAATTCTATGTGTAATTTCCTTCACTGCTTCATCAATGGGCACATTGTTCACCATTGACTCGCTGATCTCAGAAAGTGAAGAAAAAAGTTTCCAGTCAGATCTATTTAAAATGAAACGTGCAGGTTCATTTAACGTGGATGATACTCCAAGGCCTGCAAATGAGATGCAGATTGGAAAGTGGTTGCTACCATAGGTATTACTTCTGACACTAAATGAAAAAAGTGGCAGAAGTGCAGGCGAACATATTGCTAGATCGATGACGTGAAATGTCCTGCTAGGCTGGTGGAAATAAGTAGGCTGATCATTATTTAGCAAAACTATTGAGTGATCCTCAATTGGCTTTTCAATTTGTCTTCCTCATGAATTTAAATCTTTACTGCCCCCGAGAGGGCTATGAGCATTAAAGTCTCCTAGAAGAAAAAATGGTTCTCTACGAGATCATACAAATTTTGTTGATCAAGGTGTTCATTCCGGGCCAAATAGATGGAACAAACTGAAACCAGAATACAAAATTAATTTCCACAGCGACAGCTTGGAGGCATGTCCTCAAATGGAGAGTATTTGACGGATAGTCAAGTGAAGTGAGAAGACCAACACCTCCGATGACACGGTCACCCACTGTATTATCTATTCTAGTGAAAGAATACCTCCGAAGCTTAGCTTATTGCAACGGTTTGAGCAAAGTTTCTTGTACCACCAAGCACACAGGATGATGGACATCGATCATACGTTTGATGTTCTCACAATTTTGGCAGAGCCACGACAGTTATATGAAATGAGGGTGGCCATTACGTTTCATGTTTATTTTTCTGGTGCTGCTTTTTTGTCTTTTGAGGACGAATATGTTTTGGGATTTCCATTCCCTCTTCTACTTCCATATTATCCGAGTCCAGGGTATCATATATAAAATCCTCAATTGAGCTATTGCTCAGATTTCGGCTTTTGTTAGCTGTTTTTTGTAGGCTTGTTTTTGGATTTTTCTGAGTTACTGTTTCTTTTTTCTGGATTGAAGTGGGTCTTTCTTGTTTTTATTATTAATTAGAGGCTAATTCAGAAGTCAAACAACAAAAATCAGCGTTATATTCACAAAATTTTCACAGGACTAGTTTCGATGGTTTTACCGAACCATCATCTTCAGCTGCAAAACCGCAAACGGTCCATTTGCGGTTTTGCAGCTGAAGATGATGGTTCGGTAAAACCATCGAAACTAGTCCTGTGAAAATTTTGTGAATATAACGCTGATTTTTGTTGTTTGACTTCTGAATTAGTATTTGTTCGGCGTGTTATTGTGTCTTAATTAGAGGCTCTTGGCTTTTTGCTGATGGAAAGAAAGATGTTTGGATGGCAACTGATCTCGTGGACTTAACAGCATTGGTAAAAGATAAATTTGGGCACACTTGTTGAGCTTTCCACTATTTTCCTGGCTTCAGCATAAGATATGTTTCTAGTTATTTTTGTCGCCTGAACTTCCTCTTCAGATTTATATTTGGGACAAGAGCGAGAAAATGCTCGGTGCTCACCCTTGCAGTTTACACACAATGGCGCAGTGGTACAATTATCACTATCGTGGCCAACAGTCGAGCATCTGGCGCACATAAGGTTGCCACCAGGACGTCTTAGAGGGACCAAACCACTGGCATTGGAAGCATCGCATTGGGTTGGGAATATATGGTCTTACGGGACAGTTAAGATATCCAGCCTTTATTTTCTTCGGCAAATCAGGCGATTTGAAAGTCAGGATCACGTGTTTCATGTCAATCAACTGGCCTTCCTTTCGCATCTTGATCCACCTAGCACCACAGACATTTTAGTCAGCTAACTCAGAGACGAACTCTTCTTCTGAAACAGACAGAAGGTAGATCTCCGAGATCACACCTCTACAGGAATTAAGTGTTTTGTGCGCTGACACGGTTATATACATTTGTCTAAGTTTGGTTTGTGGTGAAAGGGAAGTAGACTGAATGGCCGATGCAGTATCAATAAGCAGGTCTTCTGAACGGAGACGCTTTATGTTCCTTGGCTCACCTATGCATGAATGGATATATCTGCTTACTAGAAAAGGGGACATCTTTCGATGTTCGTGAGACAGATTAGAGACAACAAGGAAGCATAAATTCTCAGTAGTTTCCTTGGCATTTGGATCTGTACCTATTTTCTTACTTAGAGATTTATCAATAACCTCAATACTTTGGTCATTTTCATTTCATTTAAGAAACATAGAAGTGGGTACGACGGCACCGCCTACCACGGAGGCCAACAAGGGAACAGAGGCTACATTAGGGCTAGCTAGACCTATACACAAGCTAGACTAAGCCACAGACACAAGGACTAATGACCAGCCAACTAAGGTGCCTCCCATTTAGCTGAAGCAGAAGCCAAAGCAGCGTGTTGGAGACAGTACCTTGCCCCTCAACTACCAGAACCCTCCTTTCCAGCAACACGGGTCTCCATGTATGGCAAACATGTGGGCATTTTTCTCGCCACTCGAAAACAAGAGACAAGAGCTGTTCCAGTTTCTCGTGACGAGCCCCCAACCTCCAAAGAGGAAAACCACTAGGAAGAAAGGAAGGAAAAAAATTTCAGCTCAGAGGAGAGGAGACAAAAAAGAGAATAGACCACTAGGGCTCTAGGATCGTGACACCAGTCTCACCAAGATGATCCCCTGAAGGGCTAGGGTACCTCAGGATTGTCACAGCCATACTCACAAAAGTGAGCCCCTGAGAGGTAGTTTTATTTGGATTGGCATATTTATGCAAATAAATATTGATCACAAATTATTAATGAAAATTTACATTCAGTATTAAAGATTGCTATAGCGAGTTGGAACTGATTACGATGGAATAATCACAAAAGATTCAAAATTTTAGGTCTCACAGGAAGTATATATATTAATTAATAACTGTTTTTGCAGCAAAGTGTTTGTAATGAAAAGCTATTAATTTATAAAATTGTTGATTAATTATTCATGCCTTTTTTTTCTTACATGTGCATTTTACATTTGATTGAATCACATGCAGAGCTGTTGTGACCTGATGTTCACCATCTATGGCATACTTACAGTAAAAGTATGAAATTAAATACATAAAATGCTATTTTAAATTTTTTAATAAAATTTCTACTAGGAAGAGTTTTCTTCCTTTGCATCTTGGCAAACAATAATAACAGCTCAAAAGATTATTACCAAAGCATCCTCCCACCTTGCAAAAGCCCAGCCTGTATAATGCTATAAAAATGACCTTTTTAAGCTCATACTTAAAAGTATTTGGCAACCTCTTATAAAGTGTGTGGGGGGTGGTGCAGAATTAAAAAAAAAGGAAGAAACAAAAAAGATATTTCAACTGAATAAAAATCATGAATGGAAAAGAAATTAAAGTTTAATTTGCACTGCAAAGTGATTTATTCATTCCATTCAGCCCTCAAAATGTGAAAGTGCTAGGCCTTAAAAGAAAGTTTCTAAAGAACTGAAAAAATATACACATTTTTTTAAAATTAAAATTATGAACTACCTTTGCCAGTTTGCATCTAGTCATGTCTTATCAAAACATGCTTTCTTAATGATTTAAATACATTTGAAGGTACATTGTATATTATGTACTTGCTAAAATTACTGAATATACATACAGGCCTTAAAGGTTAAAGAGGTTTAAAAAACGATGTATAATAACTCCTAATCTCACCTCTTTATAATGACTAGCTAATCTTGCAACTTCTGCTCGTTCGAGATCACGTTCTTTCAGAAGCTGCTCAATGTGCTGGTTTGCTTCTTTTAAAGCTTCCTAAATGAGCACAGACATTATTTTCCTCTTGAAATACTATTACATTCAGAATAAATATTTAAATCATAAAGTCATAGCACTTCCATTTTTCTAAATACATAACATTCATTTGTAATTCCAAAACATATATGCATAAACATTTGTTTATAATTCCAAAAACATAAAAAAGGGAATATTTTACCTCCAACGCTCGATTATTCGTCATAATCCCCATGCCAGGACTTTTAATTTTCTAAAATAAAAGAAAACTACTGCACAAAAGGAAACTATAAAATCAATTTTAACATGCTACAGATGGAAGAAATTAATAAATTAAAAAAGTGCTTATTCTCTACCAATGTTTGTGATGCATAGAGTTAAAAACACCTTTAATAAAAAAAATTTCCAACTATTCATAAAAATTATCAGTTGGATATATTACAAATTATATCAATTAAATGCATTATAAATTATATTAATTAGATACTTTTTTTAAGTATAATATAAAAATGAAAATTAATAGGAAATACATTTATTGCTTTTGCAACATTGGTCTCATAAGCAATCACAATTCGAAAATAAACTAAATATTTTATGCAGAATAGTAATATTCTGAGGGCTACCAATTTACTAGGCCATGCAGAAGTTAAATATCATTTCGAATAGCATTGCTTACTACAGAATGTAAATAATAAGTGCCTTGGTAATTTAATATAACTTCATGACCATTTGAAGCACTTGATGAAAAATATAATGTGAAACACCAATTCAAAAATATCATCTAAATTTAGGCATAAATGAACTTTTAGAGGGCTAGCTGTATGTCATTTAAGCATTTGAGACTGAAAGCTTAATAAGGCAAATTATATGTTTGCAAAACTGAACCTTAATTTGTTTCTGGAAAAAAAAAAAGCAAACATGTGGCAATGAGTACATTTTTTATGACCATAAGCAAAAACAGCATGACAGAAATACAAAATGCAGTCAATGAATTTCATAAGAGAAACTCAATGAAATGTAAATAGATCATGAATTACCATTTATATGTATGTACTTGTGACAGTTACCTATTCATTATATCAGCAGCTACCTTGAAATTATAGTTTCAAAAAGTTATCCATACACCCAAATCAAAACTTTACTCAGGCATCCTACAGAGTAAAATTAAATTTGGTTTCTTTCTTTTGTGTGTGTGTGTGTGTGAGTCTGTTGTTACTACAGTCACTTTTTAGTTATTACATTGGCTTCTGTTATAAAAGATCTGTAAGTTATTAAATTGGCTTCTGCAAGCAAATATTAAAAAAAAAACTGCTTAATGCTTTAAATTAACTATTTACGCAAATGATTTTCACTTTATCTAATTGCTAATTAAGAATCAGATAATGAATTTTTAAAATAGTCATGATAAAAAAAATGTTGACGTATATATTCTAAGAAAATATTATTGAAAAATTTAAGGAAACAAATTTTAAATTGTGTTTTTCTGTAAATATTGACATAATTTACATACTACATTTATTGCAGAGATGATTTTTTTTTTTTTCAATTTTATTAGTATCTGAAGACTTTTGTAATAAAATTTTTCTGTTTCCAAAAAGGTTTGGTTTGGTTTATTTGATTATGACAAAACACACTATGGCTATCTGCCTAAGGGGAGGGATCCCTTTGTGGAGAGCTTTCTAAGTGCCTAAATAATATAGTGAATCTGACTCCTACACATGGGGAAAAACACGAAAATGCCCAATCAGCCAGCCCATTTACCTGGAATTTAACCCAGGTCAGAACTACCATTCAGCAACTTAACTACTTGGCCATTGGTGGGCCTATTCCACAAAGAAAAGCACAATTTTCAAGTTGAATATTTTATATTTGAAAAAAGAATATTTAGAGAAAAAGATAAAAGTAAATTAAAAAAAAAAAAAAGAGAGAGAGAGAGAATTTTATAATTTCAGTTTTATGCATTACAAAATTTTGACATTGTTTCAAAAAAATAAAGTGTTCAAATTATATAGACATTGCATATACTTTGAAAACTCCCAATTTATATAATATATTTTAATCATTTCTTAATGAAAACTGCATAATGTAAATCTAATCAACTATAAAGAAAACTTTTCAACAATGTACAGTAAAAATTAATTTTTTTCACCCCAAATCAAATTTTATGGTTTATTTGTTTCTGATTTTAATTATTCTAAGCTAACAATCAATCAGTTTGTTTACAGTACAGCATACAGAGTTAAATGAGTATAACATAAAAGTGAGTTTCCTAACATTATTATTTTTAAAAACAGATTTCAAAACAATTTTAGCAAACATGACTTTTCAAAAGCACAATGCTTGATTATTATTTTAACTTTTTAAAAAATACCAAATTTATAATTTTAAATAAAAAACTGATAAAAAGGAAGGGTAACAATGTGCCTAAATAATATAGTAAAGGCTTATTTTGCATATAAATATGAAAAGGTCTATGCATACAAAATAGGTGGTGAAGAAATATGTATAAAGCAGAACACAATCAACAATAAATTAAAATTCTTGAAATGTTTTACAAACTATACCAAAGGATGCTTAAATTAAAAACATTAACAACAATTAAAAAAAAGCTTGGAACACCAACAAACTAAACAGCAAATCTGATATTCAGTACATACCTGGCTGTTAGTTAGTGACGTTACACCTAACTTTACTCTGCTTGTGCGAGAGCAGTTGCTTACAGAGCTATTTAATGAATCCTTACTTGCAGTCCTCATAAGTGGAGTACCACGAGCAGAAGTAGATCTTGGAGGAGCTGTTCCACCAGCTCGAGATACTTTGTGCAATGGTGAAAACAATCCATATTTCATTTCACAAGAAAAATACCTAAAAAGTAAGAATTATAAATGAAGCACAAGACTAGAAGCAAATACTTTAAGCAAAACTCTAAAGAAAAAAATTCAAAGATAGTTTCTAGTTAAATACACAGCTAGTTACTCATTAACCAATACTTATCATTATGATGATGATGTTAGAGGTAATTTACCACCACTAAATATCCATTTTGCTGATGAAATTGTGCTTAATTGTAGAGGCATCGATAAAAAATAAGTCATATGATAAACAGATATGTGATCTAGTTTCTTCTGATCAAACCCTATATTCTTACAGTTCATTCCACATTATCAGTGTTTCACATAGGTTGTTTCCACATCTTAGAATAATTTCTATAAAGAGTTTAAAAAAGCAAATGTTTTGAAATAAACCATTTCTGGCAATAGTTTATTTGAAATGAGAAATATCATCTGCTACTTATAAATTTATTCTTCTTTTGACATATTGCATGTAAACAAGCTGGGGATTAAAGGATAGGTTTCAGAGCTTTCTGAAGAGAAATATTCTGATTTCATAACTCAGAAACACAGTAAAATGTCTGGCATTAAAATTTCTCTTCAGAAAATTGTTCTAAATTCTAAGCCCCAAAATTGTTCTAAGATCAGAAAAGGAAAAACCATCAATCATTACTTATATACAGAAGGAAGACTCTAAACGAATATCCAAAAATACATAGCTAGTTACTCATTAACCAACACTTATCATTACGATGATGATATTAGAGGTAATTCACTACTAAATACCCATTTTGCTGCTGAAACTGTGTTTATTGTAGAGCCATCAATAAAAAATAAGTTATATGGCAAATGCAGATATGATCAATGATTACTTTTATACAAACCATCAATCATATCAAATTTATAATAAATATTTAAATATTTATTAAAATATTTAACTTAAAATTTAATTAAACATTTTAATACATACTATTTCTAATGTTTCTAAAGTCAAATCGTTGGTAACAAGAGAAAATCCATTGATACAGAAATCAGTTGCTAAGTCCTTAAATATGAGTGTAGCAATAACAAATAAAATAAAAAGGCAAGATTTAGAACCTAAAATGCATAATAATCATCAGCTTTTCCTGAGACATGTGATTCGAAGCAGAATAATTTATAGAACCATGAATAAAAATTATTTAGCAGGCAATAAATGGAAATACATTATGATCCTTGACAAAACATGGGTTTTCCTAAATGAATGCAACAAAATAAAGTCTTATTTATCATCAAAAATGAAGAGAAAATAATGCCCAAACCTGGTTTTGTCAATGAAAAGAAAATTTCAGTGAGGATTTTAAGACCGTCACAGGATTCTTTTATACTGGAAAATAAAAAAATAAGAAGAGTGGGGGGAACATGCTAAAATCAACTTGACGTACTATCAAGAGAAAGTTTTAGTCCAATATTTAAAGAAGGAATTCATTCTTTATACCACTGACTTTCCAAGAGTAAAACTTTCTTAAGACAGAGCAACAAGTAAAATTTCAAAAATTACCACCACATTCCTTGAAAAAGTGAAGCCTGATACAGGTAATGCATATACACCTTTTCAAAGCATTCCTGCAAAGTTTTCTGATGTTTCACCTGTGGACTATTATGTCTTAAGTCTTTTAACAAGAGCTCCGGAAATTATGATGTAGACTTACAGTCCAGAAAAAAATATCTATCAGATTGAACAATGATTGAACTTTACATTTTAAGCATTACTTAAATAGCCCCAAAATTTTTCTAAAAATGCGTAAATCTTACATGCTCTTATATTAGGCAATAATTTTATTATAATAATTAGTACACTTTTGTTTCTTAAATAATATACAGTAATTTGAAGAATGTGAAAAATATAAAAAAATTCTGCTTTCACGACCTGGCAAGATACATAGTTACAAAACTGTAGGAAGAATGAGGGGAATCAATTAGAACAAGATTCGACATGCATATAACAGATGATTACAATGAATAACAACAGTTTTGTTAAATAAATATTTTAATTGATTTTTCACTAGTCAAATTCAGTGCATATCCTAAGATGCACTTATTTTCTATTAAACACATAATGCGTTTACGCATGCGCGTAATATCTTTACGCATGCGCATAATTTGTTTATGCATGCACATTTAATGTATAACAGACGGTATAAGCTAAGCTAAAATGAACTAATTATCTATTTCAGTTAATGTTGCAGATTGCGTGGTTCCTTAATCTTGAAATTGGATCCAGCTTATTATTTTTTGCAGACTGTTAGAGCAATTTTATAAAAGTAAGCTTGAACTTTCGATTATGTCAAATAGAATTTCTGATTCTGGAGCTGCCAAAGGATCTACAAAGAGAAAGCACATTTCGATGTCCATTAAACAAAAAGTGGAATTGCTGCAAAAAAATGGATAAAGACATGAAGAAAGTGACAGAGAGGTTATTTGCTTCTCTAATCATTCCAAAATATGTTTATCAATTTCACGCTGCTCTGCAGGGGGTGGGGAAACGTCGTGGCACGCAATGAACTGGAAGTCGATCTGTCAGCACTATCCTCATCTTCAGGGCAGCTTATAATTACTTACTAAATGTAGTGTTTCATCTCGATGACTCCGATATGATTTAAATCAATTTCCTCATCATTATAAATATCACAAATACACATCAAATAGTTTTCTGGTTGCAATTTTCTAATTTTGACTATGCATAATGTATGCTTTACGCATGTGCGCGTTGAAAGAAATGTTTAATAAAGTAAACAAATAAATATTAAGCTTTTTTTTTGTAAATTTTGATACCCTTTAGATCATAATTGCTCTTTATTTCATAAATTACGATTTCATATTTTTAACTGTATAAATTCAGCATGCCATCTTACCAGATTTAAACTGATGATCTATAAACCGGAAAAATCATTATCCGGAATTGCCGAAGTCCGACGAGTCCGGATTAAAGACTTTTGACTGTAGTAATTTAAAAGGAAATGAGTAAGCTTTAGAAAAAAGCTGCCCCATTTCCTTTACTCATTTTTAAAGAAATGAGTGCCCCCAAACTCATTTCTTTAGAAATGGGTAAAGATTATGCATTTATTGGGTAGGCAAGAAAGTAATTTCGATTTGCACAAATAGACAGTGTTATGTTCCATTTTGTTATTCTTCTATGAATCTTATATATTTTTTTCTTTTGAGTTTTGGCAGCTGATACCTTTAGGTTGCTATAGAAACAAATTCCATGTATTTTTGTTCACAATTATTAGTTTATGATGAATTTTAACATGGGTGAAAACATAAAAATTTTTTGACTTAATTTACTTTTTGATTTTCTTTAAGGCAATGAAAGTGGCTGAGGCTTAAAAAGCAATACGTGAAGTTTATGGTGTTGATTGCTTAACAGAATGCACGTGTCAGAATTGGTTTAAAAAATTTTGTTTTGGAGATTTTTCACTTGAAGATGACCAATGTTCTGGCTGACCTTCTGAAATTGATATTGACAAATATAAAGCCTTAACTGAATTTAATTGAATTGTCATATAACTGTGTGAGAAATTGCAAAAAGGTTGTCTATCACACACAACAATTGAAAATCACATAAGATATCTTGGACTCATTAAGAAGCTCAATATTTGGATTCCACATAAATTGAAAGAAATTCACTTAAGACAATGAATCAATTTTTGCATTTCAAATGTAGTGCAATTTATCTTTTTCTAAAACTAATTATCAATGGTGATGAAGAATGGATCATCTACGATAACATTAATCAAAAATGATCCAAACATGATGGATCACACAAATGATATCAAAAGTTAAACTGCACCAAGAAAAGATCCTGCTGTCTGTCAATTTGGTGGGATGATAAAGGTGTTGTGTATTTTGAGCTGCTTCCAAGCAACTAATAGATGAACTCTGATGTTTACTACCAACAACTTATGAAATTGGAGGAAGCTATCTAAGATAAAAGGCCAGAATTGGCAAATCACAAAAGAACCATGTTCTAGAATGACAATGTGAGGTTTTGCGCATCTTTTGCAACACATAATGGAGCTTGGTTAGAAAGTGATATCGCATCCTCCATATAGCCCCGACCTTGCATGATTCGATCATCATTTATTTTGAAGTTTAAAAAACTTCTTAACCCTTTTGTGTCTAATAGGTTATATATGTCCCATAGCAAAATCAAAACATTTGAAAAGAAAGCACGTCTATTACAAATGTACGAGTCTGTGTCCTACTCGAGTAGTGGATTTTAACTCGAGTACTGGGATTTGGTTTCTTGTGAATTTCACCATGCTCTCTCAATCTATATCCAGAAAATGTATAAGAATGTGCGAGTTTCTTTACTGTCGTTGAAAAGTGATACACTGTTTATAGGGTTTCAACGCAAAACAAAAACAATAGTCCTTCAGAGACAAAGCCCCTTTGGACTGAAAAGGTGAAGCCCAACATAAATATAAAATCTGAGAATGGTATTATCTTTCCTGTATTTTCATATATTTTAACAAAATGCTTGACATTTGTGGACTTGCACTTCACTTGATTACATAGCATACAGTTTCAAAAAGGCTATAATATGAAAACATACTGATAACAAAGATATGCAAAATGATTTTTTTAATTCTAACTTGAAAATGCTTTGGATACTTCAAATGTATCATTTCTCTGGTTGCTAAAAATGGAAACTTGAAAATGCTTTGGATAAAAAGTTTGAAATGCATGGTATTGCTCTTTTGTCCACTTACATAAAAGGTAATTTTTAATTCAAATATAAAAAATTAAAATTATTACATACCTTTTCCCAGCAACAGAACCATCATTTTTTCCAACTGGTTCATCTAGTTCAATTCCAGCCCAGTCACCTTTAGCAAATTCAGTTTCACCAACAAATCTCAAAATTCCTGACTTGATGCCACTTGTAGAGTTTACAACTACTCTTTCTCCTATTCGTAATTTAGAGCAAACACTTTTTGTTGTGCTAGAAATATTTGAAGCAATAGGAGTTCTACTTAATGAACTTAAATTACTTAGAGTTCTAGTGACACCACTTCTAATTGATGATGGATCACCACCTTCTATGGTACTTCCAGGACATCTGGATAGTTTTTGGGGTCGAGCAAAGATGCCTCTTTGTGGTTCACAAGTGAAGTATTTCACACCAGCAACAGAGCCATCATTTTTCCCTACAGGTTCATCTAAGAGAATTCCAGCCCATACACCTGGAGCAAACTGAGTCTTTCCAATAAATTTGATGTAGCCAGGTTTAGAGCCATTGACCCACACTCTATCATCAATTTTGAAATCACAGGTACCATCAGATATATCTCCAGCTTCTAAAAAGTATATAAACAAAATATCAGTACTTTATTCTGATAAAACAGATAGGACAAATTAATACATATTTTGTATTTTCACGTAGAAGATGAGAATTTTTGGATTTTTTTAAAATCTAAATTATGGAGGTTGGTTTATACGTTGATCCGTAAATTTGGCAAAAACCTAGTATTTTTCTCTTAGCCACGTACAAGCGATAATAATGAAATACAGACCATTTTATTTTCTTTACTTTCTGCTTCTTATGAAAAAAATTTATTTCAAATAAAATGAGTTATTTGTTTCATGAAAATGAACTGCTTTATTTTTTAAATTGTTTATGCTGATGTTTTGTAAAAAAGTAAAAAAATCAATTGAAATTTTTTAGATATAAATTTTCAAAAATGTGATTGTAGGCAAAAATGCCTGTTTCTTTCAAGTTTTTTGTTATTCCACATCTTTGTTTTGTAATCCAATTTATTTTTTAAATAAATAAGTTTAATTATTTTAAATATGAACTATTAGTGTGTTATATTCATGATAAAAATTAATTACAGAAGTTTTTTCGCTAGCAAATCAATAATAAAATAATTTGTTTTCCACTTCACATCAAGTCTGTTACCATGGCATTATTTTAGTTTTAGGCAATTAGTTTATAAATCTGCCTAAAAGTAGCAGTACACATTCAGTGACATAGATAAACTAGTCAAGCTAAGTTTGACTACTTTGAATATGTATTGCCCCCTTAAGGGAGATTTATAAACTAATAGGGGATAAAATAATCTCAAGGTAATGGACTTAAAGTATAAGAAAAATTATTTTTATTGATTTGCTAAGTTTATATATTCTAAAATTTTCAATTGATGTTTCTATATTTTAAGTTGCAGAAATATATTTATAGTCATCGTTATACAATGCATTGCTGAAATTAAACTTTAAATGTTAATTTATCTTGAATTTTCTTTCTTTTCCTCTGGGACAACATATGTAAGCAAAATTTGAAAATGGGCCATACCCTTGACATAATAAATAATTTCTGTTGCTACTGACAGCACTCCAGCAATGATAGGAAGATACTAAATCTTACTGGCATGCTTAAAACAAGCTATATCGAATGTATTTTCAGTACACTGTGTCATTCATAGACATCATTTAGTCGCAAAAAATCGTAGTGAAGGTTTGCATGGATCACTAGATTATGTCATTAGGAGCAGTTAATAAAATCAAAAGGAATGCCTTCAATAGGAAATTATTTGTTCAACTTTGTTTGCAAAATGATGAAGACTATGATCGTTTACACAGAAGTATATTAGTTATCTAAAAGTGCATGTTTAAATTGATTTTATGCACTATTTGATTGTGTTAGAATTCTTGGAAAGCAATGACAATGATTTGCGAGACAATTTAATTAACTCAAAAAATGACAATGTAAGGTTTATCCCAAATTTATAACAGTTATTTTTAAGTTTATGCACCTTTCCTATCTCTCCTAGCTTCAGCTTACAAGTCCCTGCCAGAATGTGTTTTTAGAACCATGTTTAAAGCACATGAGAAGAAGTAGTATTTAAGTCAAAGATCCACCGACTTCAAGAAAGAGAATCAGAGTTTCTGACTAGTTTCTGACCTTTTGACTACATCTCTCTAAGCTGTTACTACGCTTGGCCGTATTACGGGCAATTAATAGCTTTGCTAGCTAATTCGATATATAAGTTGAACTTGTTTAGATCTGTATTAGCTTCGGCTAAACCTCTTTAATTAGTCATTAGTTAAGTTCTTATTTCTTACACTTTTAAGTTTAAGCCAAAGTGGAGGCTTTGCCATACAACCTAATAAAGAGGTCGACTGTATATCTTTATTTTGAGCAATAAAGGATAATTAAGCCTTCGTGAATTTACATTTCTATTTCTGAACTTAAGCAATTATTTACTAACTGTTCATTAGGTTCCTCAACACTTAGTTATTAGCTAATAGGAGGAACACTATACAGTACAAAGTCTGAAATCCAGGCGTCCATTATCCGAAATGATCTAAAATCCGGACCTCAAAAGCGTTTTTCTCGTAGGCTTTACACATGCGCATTTAAATCCCCCCTCCACGCATAATAAACCTTCTGGAGAATCTCAATTCTTAATTTTACTTCAACACTAAATAAAATACCTTTTTATTAAAGAAACAATCATTTTAGCATAAATTTGTATGATCAGTAATTTGGCTCCATTGCTGTGTATCTGCTTTGGCACACATCTCAAACCGAAACATTCCACATAGATGTAACGTTGATCTGACGCCAACCTGGCGAATCATTATTTATTATACTTTTCCTTTCATCACCGCATGTTTATCAACACACGACAACTTGAGTAATGACTCATGTAGCAATGCCTAAATAATTTTTTTTTATGTTAGTAATTGAATAATAAAGGAGTATGGTAACCTTTTATGTTGACATTACTCTTGGCCATGATTACAGATTTAAGTTAAATGCGCTAAAAAATTTTGATGAGGAAAACTTTAAAAAAAAATTTTTATGTGCTAAAAATATATTTTTAAATTGTACTCATAGGCCAAAAGACTACATTTAGTGCTATTTGAATTAAGAATAGTTGACTTATTGCTCACATAAACCCAGAACCAGCGGCAGGGCTCATATGGCCGCACTGCACTGTAGAATTTAGGATCGACAGAGACTGCATCAGGCGGTAAGATATTTAGTGCCAGTCCTCAATAAGGCTTAAGTACACTCATGTCCATAAATTAAGGATGTCGGAGTCACGCGGAAATCGAACTCTAAAATAAATATATCACCTGTAAAATCACTACACACATCTTCAAGAATCATATGCAAATTTCAGGAAGTAACCAGATGACACCGATGGTGCATCACAATGACGAGAGTGTAACAGATTGATATATAAGGAATACAGGCAAAGAGGTAAAATTGTTCGCAGGCGCTTTATAAGCATTTCAGTGCAATAACTGAATACAGTCAAAAGTCGTTAATTCGGACACCCATAATCCGGACCTCAAAGCTAAAAACTTTCTGCGCATGCGCCGCGTTGGCACATGCGCACAGGCGTTTTACGCGTGCGCGTAAGACCTTGACTACTGCGCATATGCGTGTGCGCAAGTGCAGAATACGTTTTCGCCTGCGCGTTTAATGTATAACGGACGGTGTAGCTAAAATTATCTAATTATCTATTTCAGTTAATGTTAATGATTGCGTTGTTCCTTAATCTTCGAATTGGATCCCGCTTATTATTTTTTGCAGACTGTAAGAGCAATTTTATAAAAGTAAACTTGAACTTTTCGATTATGTCAAATAGAATTTCCGATGCTGGAACTTCCAAAGGATCTACAAAACGAAAGTATGTTTCGAATGTCCAACAAACAAAAAGTGGAATTGCTGCAAAAAAATGGATAAAGACATGAAGAATGTGACAGAGAGGTTAGTGAAAACGAAAAAAATTTCGATTGACAAGTTAGTCGGTATTCTCGGCACAGCAATTAACGGGACTTGAACAGCGGAACTTTGTAACTGAACAAGAAATTATGTCTGTTTATAGAATTAAAGAGAAAGTATTATCACATAAAATGAAGCAACTTAAACAACTTACATTGAAAGAAATGTTTAATAAAGTAAACAAAATATTAAGCTTTTTTTTTTTTTTAATTTTGATACCCTTTAGATCATAATTGTTCTTTATTTCATAAATTACGGTTTCATATTTTTAATTTTAGAATTTCTGCATGCCGTCTTACGAGATTTAAACTGATGATCTATAATCCGAAAAAATCGATAATCCGGAATAGCCGAAGTCCCGACGAGTCTGGATTAACGACTTTTGACTGTTTATGATACAAAGAACGCATTTGGATGATTTTTACGTGGTAGAATTATCGGCCGTCTGGAATGTGGGCGTACCCAACTGGAAGTATCAGACGAACTTGGAATTGCCCAGAGTGTCATCTCCAGGCTTTGGCAATGATTCCAAGATGATGGTAATGTGAGTAGACGTAACAGCACTGGTCGCCGCAGTGTTACAACGCCGAATGAGGCAGTTACTGCCAAAAGAAACAGGCGGAGCACAGCCTCAGACCTGTCTCGTCAGCTCTCTTCAGCCTCTGGTACGACAATTTCAAGGCAGACCGTGTACAGACGCTTAGGGCAGATTGGTCTATATGCTCGTAGACCTGTCAGATGCGTTCCACTTACTGCAACTCACTGTCGCCTGCGGTTAGCCTGGAGAAGAGAGCATGCATTGTGGACACCGCAACAGTGGGCTTGTGTGATGTTTTCCGATGAGTCCAGATTTAGCTTGTAGTCTGATTCTCGCCGGACTTTCATACGGAGAACTCCAGGTACCCGTTACCACCAAGAAAACATCATTCAACGACACTGTTACGGTGGTGTAGGAGTGTTCGTTTGGGGTGGAACTATTCTGGGTTCCAGAACTGACCTGCATGTTCAAATTGGAACCATGACAAGCTAAATCTATCGGGACGTAATTCTGGAACAACATGTACATTTGTTTCTGGAACAACATGTACCATGGGCGCATAATTTGTGTTTATGGATGACAACGCCAGTCCTCACCGTGCAAACATCGTAAGCGAATGCCTTCAATCGGAGGATATCACCCGTATGGACTGGCCAGCATTCTCACTGGACTTGAATCCAGTACAGCACGTGTGGGATATGCTTGGCTGACGAGTTGCAGCCCGTCAACCTCCTCCTACATGTCTACTGGAACTTTGGAGAGCATTGCTTTTTGAGTGGTGTAATATCCCCCAAGATCAGATCGATAATTTGATACTCAGCATGCCTAGGCATTGTACAGACTGTATTGCATCGTCTGGGAGACATACAATGTATTAACAATCATACCAACCATTTAATGTTGGTTTTTTTGTAAATAGGTTTTTTCTTTTGTAATTTGCTCCAGGGAGAAAAAAATCGCTAATTTTTTTAATAATATCAAACATATAGCATCTTTTTTTGATTTTTACCTTTTGTTTAATA